ACAAAAAAAGAAGAGATGTGGAACATACAGCATGAGTAATATGTAACAATTCAATGAATGCTGAATTCTATCCTTCTTGTATTACGATGTTATAGAATAAGGAGCTGCCGGGGATTTAGCTCAGTGGTTCCACTGCCTGCCTCGCAAGCGCAAGGTCCTGAGTTCGATACCTGGTACCAAAAAAACAAACAAACAAAAGATATATAGAATAAGGAGCGAACAGAAATAGCAGTACTAATTTACTTAAACTGACTTCAATCAAGTAAAAAGCTAGAAAAAAAGATTTTAAAAGAAAGGTATGCAGGTAGGCTGCCCTCTTATAATCAAGAACTAATTAAGATATGAATTTTCTGAAAAATGAATGCTTAATATAAGCAAATAAAAACTGAAAGTCATCAACATTAGGCACTACAGTTACTTTAGGTGCAAACCTACAAGCAGTCACCATTCATGTAGCAGTTACTTTTAAATTTTTTTGTGTTTTTTTGGTACCAGGGATCGAACTCGGGACCTTGCACTTGCATGGCAGGTGGCGGCACCACTGAGCTAAATCCCCGGCCACCATTCATGTGCATACAGAAAGTTCCTTTTAGTTGTATTTCAGTCTCTTAAGCATAGAACAATTCTGCGTAACAATACAAATTTTGTGCAGATTATTAAGAGCATTCTTAGTGAAAAAATTTTAATTAAACCCACACATAAATAAATATTAAATTTCTGGTTGTATTTTTTTTATTACAAAGGCATTTCAAAAGTATCCTGCTATTTCAGAAAGAACACACAGTTATTCCAACCAAGAGTTGAATACCCAGATCTTTTAAGAGCTAGAGTAAAATGAGAACATTTTAAAATAAACACAAAATGAAACTTTACTGCTGTTTGACATTCTCTACAGGAACTTCCAAAAATATTCTTTATGAAGAAAAATACTCAATTTAAAAAAGCCTGAATGAGGAGAAGAAATAGTAAGCTGAGAAACTGGTACTTATATATGCAAATCCTCGGTACCTTAAATTAAGTAGTTTTACGTATATGAATTTATTTCTAACCTCATTTTTCTTAAATTGAACACATTGGGATCTTATACATTGTCTATATAAAATAAAATGTAAAATTTGTGGAATTATTAAAAATGAAGTTAAATTAAATTATGGGCAATATCATGTAAATTGTGGGGATTGAGGGAGATTGTAATTAGTGTTAAAATGTAGAAAGATTTTTATACTTTCGCATGTGGATGTGGATTTTATGATATTAATTTTAGGTTTTGTTAAGTTGATCATACAAAAGCCATAAACTAACAGAACATTAATATACTATAGAGCTCCAAAACCAGAAAAGGGAATGAAAACAGAATAGATACAGAAGACAAAGTCAAAAAATATAATCCAAAAAAATAAGGCAAGAATTTTGGGGGTGAGGGGCAAAGCATAGAAAAAGCAAAACAAACAGCAAGATGAAAACAGATACAAATATAAATAGATGAAACTCACCAGTCAAAAGACTTAAAATGCTATTTCCTCCCAAACTCCACTATATAAAATAATATTTATAAGAGACAGACTAAAATATAAAGTCATAGAAATACTAAATATGGGAATTGGAAAAAAAGATATCATTGACTATATCAACTGACAAAAGCTGGAGTGACTTTGTTAAAATAAGATGAATCCCTGGAGTTCGAGTCATAACAGTTTCAATGCACCAAGAAAATATGAATTCTAATCTCATGTGCACTGAATACATACAAATATAAAGAGCAAAATTTGATATAAATATATGGAAGAAAGTCAAATTGCCTCTCTTATTGTTAGGTCATTTGGACCAAATTAACTAAAATATTAAAGATCTAACAAATTTAAAACTTGACTTTATTTAAAACTTAACTTGACACAGAGAATCCTCAAGTTCAAAATTAAAGGATATACCCATTTTACATAAACTATAAGTAAGCTTTATGAACTCTTCCTGTGCTAAACCATAAAGCAAGACTAAACAAACATCAAAGAACCATTTCATATAACCAGATTGAAGATCACTATGCAATTAATGTACAATGCATTAACAAATGATAACATAGAGAACTTCTACATTTAATCATTTCAAAACATAATTTGTAGGTCAAAACATAAATGAAAAACATAAATGAAAAGTGGAACTTTAAAACATTTAAAATGAAGATTCACACTTATATAATAGAATGAAAAATTAAAACCCCAGGAAATTTTATACCCTTAAATGCTCATGCTGTTAAAGAAGAAAACTTGAAATTTAGTTAATTTTTGAATTTAATATAAAAAGAACTAGAATAAGCCTTAAAATGCAGAGGGAAGCAGACAACAAATATTTTTAAAAATGAGATTTTAAAACAAGATGCAATTTTCAAGCCAAATTTTCTCTTTAAACACTATGGAATGATGGTTACTGGAGGGTGGAGAAAATAAAAGGAGAGGAAGGGGGAAAGGTTGATCAATAGGTACTAAGTTACAGTTATATAGGAAAAGTAAGTTCTGGTGTTCTATTGCACAGTATGGTGACCACAGATAACAATAATTTACTTTTTTTTTTATTTGGTACCAGGGATCGAACTCAGGACCTTGCGCTTGTGAGGCAGGCGGTGGCACCACTGAGCTAAATCCCTGGCTTGCAAGTGCAAGGTCCCGAGTTCGATTCCTGGAACAAAAAAAAAAAGATTTTGACTGTTTCATCACAAAGAAATGATAAATCCTTACCTTAATTTATTACACAAGGCATACATGCATAGAAACATCACCTGGTACTCAAGACTAACAGGCAGGAAGACTTTAGAAAAATGTAATGGAAATGGGAAGCAAAATAAATAGCAGGAATAAAAGGTAAATATAATCACCTATACAGAAAAATAAAAGATAGACTATTACAAACTTTAAGGCAACACTTAGAAATCAGACCTAGGTTGTACATGCAAAATTCTACCAAACTGCCAAGTAACTAAAATGAGCTTAATAAAAAGGGAAGGGGAAGTGGGTGGGATTGGGGAAAGGAAAGAGGGGGAATAGAATTAATATGAAAAATGAAAAAATTAATATGAAAATGAAAAAATGGAAACAAAGTCTTTGTAAATAGGGAGGGGTGGAGGGGTTGAAGGGAGGGCAGGGGGACAGGGAAAAATATAAGAATAAGAATCAAGATATATTCATAAAGGTTCAAATCTCCAGTGATGTCATTATACTGTATACCTAAAATGTACCCATTTTAATAAAAATTTTCTAGCAATTTTACATATATATGAGTTTAACTCTCCAATTTATTTTAAGAAGCAAGTAAAACCTTGAAACCAAAATCAGAAAAGCAGTTTAGAAAAGAAAATTATAGGCTATTTATTCCCTTTATGAACAGGGCAAAAATCTCTTTTTAAAAACAAACAAACACAAAACAAATCTAGTAGTAAATAAAGAGACATCATGGGCCAAATTGGGTTTATCACAATAGTTTATAAAATCTGTAAATTTTAATCATCAGATTAAAAAAGAAACAAATTAAAGAAAAAAATTATTGCCTCAAGAAATAAAAAAGATAAAATTCAATATAACTTTTTATTATGAATAAACTTAGTTAATTAAAATTAGAAGGGAACTTGTTTAATCATATAGAAGGTATCTACAAAAACCTTCAAAACACGTTCTTCTTAATGATGAAATGTCAGAAGGATTTGTTTGAAAATTAGGAAGAAGACAATCAACACTATCCTGGAAATTCTAGTCCTACACTGTCAATATGGTAGCCACTAACATAAGCACTATGGCTAGTGCAAACTGAGAAGTGATGTAAACAGATTTTGAAAATTTAGTACCTCCAAAAGTACAATATCTCATTTTCTCATTAATGTTTACACACTACATACTGAAATGACAATATTGAATTAGATAAAATAAAGCGAAGTATTAAAATTAATTCCACCTTTTAAAAAATCAGTTCTAGGAATCAAAACCAGGGCCCTGACATTAAACTATATCCCTAACCCTTTTTTATGTTTTATTTGGAGACAGAGTCTCACTAAGTCACTAAATTATGTAGGCTGAGCTGGTACTTGTAATCTGTCTGCCTCATTCTACCAGTGTTGGGATTACAGGTCTGCATCCTCATGCCCATATTTTTATTGCATAGTATCATCCTCGTCAACAGTACAAAAAAAATACAAATAACAAAGATTGGAAAGGAAGAAGCAAAACTTCCATACTCAAATGCTGTGACTCTCAAAAAAACAACATATAGAAAACTTGTTACAGTCAGATTAAGGTATAACAAAGTAGCCAACTGGGCTGGGGATTTAGCTCAGTGGCACTGCTGCCTGCCTCACAAGGTAGCCAACTGCATTATATACACATCAGCACTTAAACACAATTTTCAGAAAGATATAATTTACAAAAGCAATAAATAAAAAATGCCTGAAATTTAATGAAAGATACATAAAACTTTATTGAAACACATTTTTAAAATTCAATGTAGAAATTCAATATCATAAATTTCCAAACCGATGTAGATTCAATGGTATTCCATCAAAATCTCAAAATGATTTTATGAAGAATGATAAGATTTACACAGAAAAGCAAAGGCTGCTTAATAGTTGAAGTATCTTAAAGAAGTAGATGGAAGGACTTTCTCAAATATCAAAACTTAACAGCAAAAGTATACTGAAAGAATAGAATACACAAATAAGCCTACATACATGGATTTATGACAAAGGCAGCACTGCATAGGAAAGGATGGTTTTTCTAAATATCAGTGCTGAGGAATTAATTTCCATATGCGGCAAAAAATGATTAATGATCCCTACCTCACACTATGCATATATATACATATATGTGTATATATATACACACACATAACATATATATATATATATACACATATATATATGGGATTGTACCTCTAAATGTGAAAGAGAAAAGCTTTCTAGAAGGTAACAGGAGAATATACTGAGACAGCACAATGATCTAAAACATAGGGGACATTTTCATGGCCTTGGATTTGGTATTGGATTCCTAAACGAAACACCAAAAACACAAGCAATGAAAGAAGAAATAGATCAATTAAACTTTATCAAATAACTTATAACTCAATAATACAACATGATTGAAAAATGGGCAAAAGATCTGAATAAACCTCTTGGGCATATACGTAGGAGTGGAAATGAGATGACATACAAATGACTGCCATCCATGCACAATGAAGATGCATACCATTAGCCATTTGGGAAACACAAATCAAAACCTCATGATACTGCTTCATATCCATAGGGATGGCTGTAATTAAAAATATGGAAAATGTGTGGAGCCGAACGTGGGTGCGTCCTGGCGCTCGTTCCGGGGTCTGCAGAAGGAGCAGCCTCCCTCCCGGAGCTGGAAGCTCGCCTGGGGACGCAGGGAGGCTCCCCTTGTGCTTCGTCCCGGGGCGCCGGTGGGGAGTCTCCGGAAGGAAGCGAGGGCGCGGGCGGCCTGCGCTCCGGCCGAGCCACGGGAGGCTCAGCGGCCGAGAGCGGGGGAACCCTCGTGTCCTACCCTGCAGTGCAGTCAGGACGAAGACTCCTTGACTGCTAGTTCAAGTGCCCGGGCTTCAGCCACAAAGCCTTCGAGGAGATCTGAACCCCCTCCGGTACAAATTGAACTTCGCCACACAAGACTTAGCTTACTCCTTCCACTTGCAGTTTGCTCCAGAGAATAAGTTGAGTACCAAAGAACCCGAGATTAGCGTTTCTTCAGACAATGCAGTGATAGTGCTGGCCAAATCTCCAGGGAGCCATGGACATTGGCGAGAGTGGTTTTACGGTTTAAACAGCTGTTCTTTGGAGGAAAGGTTATTTGTCAGTGAAGTAAATGTTAATGAGTTTCTTGAAGAGGTCCTGAACCCTCCATTCAAACAGACAGTGCTCCCAACCCCACCATTAATTGAAGTTCTTCAGGTTACTGATGAGAAGATTCAAATTCATGCAAAGATACAAGAATGTAGTAATCCTGATCAGCTTCGAGGAAAGGAAAAAAGAATCAATGAAGGATGTCCTCTAACTGAAAATGAAAATATAGAACATCTTACCACTTCTACAATTGATTCTGATTCATCTATATCAGTTAAATCACCAGAAATAGATATTTGTGGTTCAGTTGCAGGCTTTCAACAAGAGCCTCTTGATGTTTCTCAGATGCAACTAGGAAAATCTCAGCCACTTGAGGCAAAAATGGAACCTCAATTTGTAAAAGAAAAAAGTGCTACTTATTCAAATGAGGAAGATAATTTAAAGGAACCAGTCATAAGTGAAGAAAAACAGTTAGATGGAGATCACCAGTCTTCATCACTGAACAAAACTGTAATTCACAATACAACTGATTTTGATAGCATAAAAGAAATCAATATGCAGGATGGCAGTGTCCAGATTATTAAAGATCACGTGACTCATTGTGCATTCAGTTTTCAGAATTCTTTGCTGTATGATTTGGATTAATTAAACGTAATTTTGGAATTTGAATGTTAAAAGTAAAAAATTGGGGGATCTAAAATATTTTGTTAACTATTAAAACTAAAGCTATTCAACAAAATGTAAATTTTAATTCCAGTGGGGAAACGAGATATTTTTCTTTAGAATTTAAAGTTTCCTTAATTATAGAAATACTAGTTTTGTGATTCCTCTGATAGAGGTTTTTTCCTAATGGAGAATAAAACATTGTTTTAATACAACCTGTAAAAAAAAAATATATATATATATATGGAAAATAACAAGTGTTGGTGAGGATGTGGAAAAATTGGAATCTTTACACAATGATTGGTGTGAACAGTGGTACAGGCATGAAAAACAGTTTTGTAGTTCCTAAGTTAAATACAGAATTACTAGCAGCAAGTAATCAAACATATATAAATGCTCATAGCAGCGTTCACAATTCACAATAGCCAAACAATGGAAACAACTCAAATGTCCACCAATATCAGATAAATAAACAAAATACAGTTCATACCCACAGGGCATACTATTCAGCCATCTAAATGAATAAAGTATGGGTTCATACTATAATGTGGATGACACATGATCACATGCTGTGTGAAAGAAGCCCAACAAAGTCACATATTGTATCATTCCCTTCATACGAAATATTCAAAACAGTAAAATTCCTAGAGACTGAAAGCAGGTAGGTGGTAGTTGCTAGGGGCTAGGGACAGGAGAATGGGGAATCTCTAATGGGAATGGAATTTTACTTTGGGGTGATGAAAACATTTAGGAATCTGATAAAGGTGGTAACTACACAACACTGTGAATGCACTAAATAGTGGAATCCATTTATTTTTATATTGTTCATGTTAAATTGAATTTCACCTTAATCTAAAGAGAAAACGAACAAAACAAACTCATGTCCTAAATCAGAAAACTACAAATGATCTTCAATTTTTTTCCATCATTTCTCATATCCTGTCAGATAATGAACCAAAACTGATTCTACTTCCACTTCAGAATGTAATTCTCTCCTCTTCCTTTTCCTTGCAACTGTCCCTGCCTTAATCTATCCATTAAAGAATTATCACGTCTAACCTAAGTTTTCCATAATCTAATGGCCAACAGTGTTGTTCCTCACATTTAGTATCTTCTGTAAATTGCTGTCAGATCCATCTTTCTAAAATCCAAATCGTCTTGTAAGTTTTCAACTCAAAATTTTTTCATGTTTCCCTATAGCTTTCAGCATAAAACAATGCTCTTTATCCCCACACAAAAGACCTTTTCTATTCTAGCCCCTTCATATACCTCTGGCCTCATCTCCTGTCATTCCTTGCCTTTCCCTGGCAATACATGGAGTACACTCTTCCTACTTCAAAGAACTGGGAGATCCTTTCCCAAGTAAATTCCTTAGAAATTCAACTACATGAATCTTCACAGGACAAGGTTCCAATTTTTTATTTTTACATCATACCAACTATTTCTCAGAGCACTTTTTACACTGATACAACTGGCTTACTTTCCTTTAAACTTATAATCTCCTAGTAAACTCTGAGGGCAGGGCATATGGCTTTCTCATTATTTATATCACATGTATCTAGCTCAGCAAATTTCAGTCAGTCATTCAATGAATCAAACATAAAATGATTCAGAAGTCTGCTTATTCTTTGCTATTTGATCACTAGGTCTTTGTGCCTAGCCAATATCTGACAGAATAATGACAACTTGCTTGAGCAAAGTTTCTGCTAAAACAGTCTATCCTCCAACTAATTCAAACAAGAGCTTCATTAAGACAGTTAATACATGAAAGAAAATTTTCTAATCCTCATTTTAAAAATCAACTGAAAACTGGCCAAGGTCAATGTAAAGATAAGTAAAAATAGTAGTAGTAGTAGTAACAATAATAATAATAATAATAATAATAATAATAATAATGCTACAAAATTAAATCTCTTCGTTTTGAGATGACAAATCTAAATATAAAAATTTAACTAACAATTTTCTCCCTCACTGGACAAACAATTCAATGTCAGAGTTGTTTTCTTTTGTTTTGTGATAGGATCTCTCCATGTAGTTTAGGCTGGCCTTGAATGGATAGCAATCCTCCTTCCTTAGCCTCCTAAATGCTGAGATTATAGGCATGTGCTGGGATTATAGGCATGTGCCACCACGCCTGGCTTTCAATGTCAATTTTTAGGGTTAGATATGCAACACACACTCTTGTACCATATTACCTGTCATTCTCTGGGGTGCACACTCCGTGTTCTTGAGCTCACCAAATCATCTGGTTGATTTTAAACTATGTGTTAGAAAATAGGTTCTTTCAGGATATCTTTCAAAGATAATATTCTTTACTCTTTCAAATCTGCTAAAAAAACTTCGTATTTTAAAATGTTTTGACAATGTGAATTTGAACATACCCAGGTAAACTTGAAATAAACTTGAATGTATCTCTAGACTTCCTTAGTGACCAGGGAAACATTGTTATTTTGAAATATGTAGAATATATAAATATTTCTCATGGGCTGAGGATTTAGCTCAGTGGGGCCACCGCCTGCCTTGCAAGCACAAGGTCTTGAGTTTAATCCCCCCGGTACCAAAATAAAATAAAATAAAATATAAATAAATAAATATTTCTCATAACATAACTTATATGACAAACTATATTTTTTTTTCATGAGGTTAGTCTTTTTTTGGCACCGGGCATCAAACTCAGGATCTTGTGCTTGCCAGGCAGGAGCTGTGCCACTGAGCTACATCCCCAGCCCTCATGAGATTAGTCTTATTCTAATTGTTCAGATACAATCTAATTCTGCCCACATTACAATATATACAGTTTCAAACACCTGAAAGAATGAAGCACAGCCATTAACATACTTTCTTTTTTTCACCCATGCATGGTGGTGCACACCTATAATCCCAGGACTCAGTTGGGTGAAGTAAGAGGTTTGAAAGTTTGAGGCCAGCATGGGCTATCTAGTAAATTCAAGGTTGGCCTGGTCTATATAGTGAGACACTATCAAAAAAAAAAAAAAGAAGAAGAAAAAATTTTTTTCCTGGGGCTATTTCTGCTAGACCCTCAGTATTTTTCTTTCAGGCAACTCAATAACAGAAATTCTTGTGCTTTTCCTATGAAATTTACTTGTATAATATTTTACGGGCTTAGAATCAGTTAACTATTTCCACCTTGCATTAGTTACTAAAAACCTCACAGCTAATTTACAGGTCATTTCTATACTTTTTTATTTGCAATAGGGGGATATTATTCTCACTCTGAGCTCTTACTCTTTCTTAACCTTTTTGATTCTATACCATAATATATACTTAATTTTGTCATGCTAGGTATTTAAGCTGCCTTTAACCCCTTCTGGAAAATAATTATTTAAAAAACCTCATATACATACTTCACTAATTATTAACTAATATGCTTCTGGGCTTCAAAATGTTTCAGAATCCAGACACAATCAAACTTATTCCACAGCTGCTCAACAATCCCTGTATTCATTGTTGGTTGACTACATATACATTTCCCATATAAATCATTATAGATTTTTTTTTTTTTTTGGTACTGGGGATCAAACTTGGGACCTTGTGCTTTCAAGGCAGGAGGCGGCACCACTGAGCTAAATCCCGGGCCCCTGAGTCATCCTAATTTAATTCAGTCAACACCTCTACCTAAATTTCAGAGATGACAGAGTCAATCAGTTAAACTCCCTCACCCTGAGGTTCTTGCAGTGGGAATGCAGGGATAAGGATGTGAAACTAGAAACTGTGTGGCAGTGAACCCACTGTAGGGAGTAAGGGGAAATTTAGTAGGGAGAAAACAGATAAAACTGTCAAGGCAACAGTCAACATTTAGTCCAGTAGCTGATATGAGGGCATTTCAGCATGAATTTAAAGATAGTCCAATAAACTGGGCATGGTGGCACATACCCATAATCCCAACACTTGGGAGGCTGAGGCAGGAGGACTGCTGTGAGTTCGAGATCAGTCTGGACTACAACAGTGATTTCAAGGGCTGCCTGGACTACATACCAAGACCCTGTCTCAAAAAAACAAAAATAAAATAAAATAAAATAAAATACAGATAGTCCATCAGATGGAACATTGAAAATGTCACACAAGAGTCAGTTATCTAAGCAAGAACTCTGAAAACAGAAAGAAAAGTAGTCCAGATATCTGAATTGGAGAGCAAGGTAGAGAACTAGTGATCATAATAAAGTAGCACATCAGTTACAAAGACTGAAAGATAAAGCATACAACTAGCAATAACTACTCTTACTCCTGAATCCTCTGAATTGAACTGCAACTTTTAAATCCTCCCCAAGATCAGACTTTGTCCCACAGGCTGGGCTAGGGGAAGGGTAAGCAGCTGGAGCAGGGTCAGCTGGAGCAGATGAAAATGATCAAGGCAGTGACAAACAGGACAAACTGCCAGTATAGTTTTCATCCTCAATACAGGATGAAAAACTAAGAATTTAGTGAAAAACAAAATTTTAATAAATTTAATAAGCATATTACCTATACCAAAGTTGCATAAATTTACAAATATCATATTGAAACTATGTGTGTGCGTGAAAGTAAAAGAAAGAAAAAGGATGAGCACCAACACATGCACTCTAGGCTGATACTCCCTTGAAATGGTTCTTTACAAAAAATAAAAAACCCAAAAGATCTTTATACTCAGCAGACAATTTAAATACTTACCCTACTCAAAATGGCATGCACATAGCTTAGTAGATCAAATAACATAGGTGTCTCCCTCTAACTTGCCTTTACATGCAACAAAAAGATATTATATAGTTAGTTTCCAGTTGCCATTTCTGCTCATAAGAAATCTTTCTCTCTCATTGTTACAGTATATTTGATGAATTTAATACAGGTTATATGCTTTCTATGAAGGACTTTTCTTCTACGTATAATCCTGTTTAAATTTTAGTGCCTTTCAGATGGATTTCTGGCCCCATTTGATACCAGGGACAGAGTAGTAAGTGAATACTGGCTTAAGATAAAAAATACTTTCAGGGCCCAGGGATTTAGCTCAGTGGCACCAGGCCTACCTCACAAGTGCAAGATCCTGAGTTCAATCCCTGGTACGGGAGTGGGGTACTT